TTCACCTTGGAAAGGGCTTTTCATCACCCACACTGGTCAAGCCTCCAACCAGAAGCCTGAACAGTGATGGGGTGCAGCTCTGCTTCCCTTTGTACTCCCATAGAGTTCTGGGCTTCAGGATGGTACTGAAAAGGACTCCAAATAGTCAAGTTTTTATAGCAGTTGTTACTGTGTGCTAGAAATTTTCCATAAAAACATTAATATACTAGAATTCAAGTTAAAAAGGCAATTTGCTTATACAATGAGCATTTGTTGTACTGTATCATGAACTTGAGTAGGAGTGTGTGTGTGCTACAGATTTCCAATGATACTTAGAAGAGTGGGACCTCGGAACCAAGCTCCCTTAAACTTCACTGAAAACCCTCACCTTGGTGCTTTGAAGAAATAGCTTTTTATTGCATAGTTGTATTTTACCTCAAAATTGTAGAATTTTAGGATGTTTGGTGTCTGGCTTGAGACCCACCACAAATGAAACTGACCTTATCATAACCTTTAAAAATCCAAACAACCCAACAGCCTATGTGAGAAACTGCCACAACTATTTTGGCAACACTTACCAGCCTAAAAGTCAGCCTTTTAGGGCTGACCTAGCATGAAGACTGAACCACATGCCAAGCCATAATTCTCCTCCTCCTTCCAAAACTGCAATTGTCTCATTTTTTTTTAAACCACAACCCCCTGTCTTAAGTCCAGCAGTGAATGTTAACAAAGCCTTGACCTGCAGAGGGCTGATTTCCATGGGGGCCATTAAAAGAGAAAGACTTTTCTATAAATGCCAGATTCTGTAAACTGAGAAGTTCATCACTGCAATACCTAGAGTAGTGTGGAAAGTGCCAGGCATGGAATTCAAAACCCCTTATTAGAAGGTGAGATTCTGCCTTCAGAGTCAGGTAGCAGAGGGTAGAGACAGAGCAATGTAAAAGGTTTTAGCTGGGAATTAAAAATTCCGTCCTTTGGCATCTTTGCTATTTCATTGTCTATGGTGCTGAATCCTCTGCTAAGCTAGGTTCTTGGTCTGTCTCTTAAAAGCTAAGAGGACTCTCTAATTTATAGCATAATGCCAGAAGGAACTTCAGTGGCATTGGTCTGCTTTTGTTTTGGAATTGCATAGGAAAAGGGAGAGATCCCAAATGCTGCATGAAAAGAAAATAATTGAGTGCTTTTTCCACAACAGAACACACCCATCACCAGAATTTCAGTCACATGAAAAGGGACATATATTTTTCCTCTCTCCCTACCCTGCTACACTCTTTTGCTTACATTCCATCCTCCCAGAGGGTGCAGGAAAGATTATATCCCAGCAGACAGAACTCAGGGAGCAGAAAAGATATTGAAATTCAAATCCAAGTGTGGATTCATTGGGGAAATGGATGCTTTTGCTTCCCCTACTTTTAGTCCCTGTATGATCTGATGTGGTTCATCTTTCAGCTTCCCAATCTGCCTTCTCTCAGCTGGAGGCTGCAGCTATTGCTCTCCTGCACCATGCTCTCAGTTACTGAGACCATTGTGTGATGAAGGAGGGTCTGCTGCCTGGATTTGCTTTGGTGAGGACAGAGATTATAGCAGATAAAGTTGCAGTTAGGTGGTGCTTAACTTTGCTGATGCAAGCTAAAATGGTTAACCTTGGGCAATTTTCACACAGAGCCCCAGATAGATTGGAAGTTTCCTCTGAAAGGCAGAAACCTCCTAATTACCCATTATGTAGGAGTCACCATGACAATAGATTTGAACACAGTCATAAAACCAGGGTTTACATCCTCTTTTAAATACCTTAGGTCCTATTTTAGATCTGGATCTAGGCAGGTAGGAGCAAGAGAACGTCCTGCAGAAATAATGCTCATTTTACATCCTCAGTGTTTGGTTTTGAGAACAGAATGCCTTACTTTTTTGGCATCTTTGAAAATCCAAAGTCTCCTGATACTTTTGTGACTGGGTTCTTGCCACCACTGCTATTAAATGAAAGGCTTGAAATTTGAGGAAATTTAACTTAGAAATATTTTCACTATTATCTTTCTCTTTAAACTGATATCACAGCATCCTAAGTATAATAAAGTAATTAAAACTTAATTTCTCTTTTTTCAAGAAATAGTAGAGAGGACTTAATGTAAAGTACAGGTAACAGAGAAAACCTAAGTAAGGGACAGGAGTTAACACCTCATTCATTTAAACCTTTTAAATGCTTGGAATTTAATATAGAGAAGTCTCCTTTTCACCATAATTATGTGAAAGACCAGAATAAAACAGAGTTAAATGGGGCAAATATATAAATAAGAGAACCTACAGTTTGCGGTAGCTTTACTTACTATCTTAATTATATATTTCCTTTGAATGTTTCTTTTTTCCCTCCCTGGGACAGATGGAATAAATTAATCTTAAATGCAGCATAAAATCTATTCCAGATCCCCTCATATGCCAGTGTTTAAACAAAACTAACTAGAATAATAAAAGTCAGAAATGAAAAAGATCTATTAGCTGACCACCTAAAATTTTATATACAGAAATGTATCAATTTAACTAAACCTATTTCTAAATATTTAAGGAGGTTTGGTTACATCTTAAATCAGTTCAACAGTGGCCAGAGTCAGTTTATTTCCCTTTGAAACCACTCTTAAAAGCAAATAAAAGTGACCTGCTTTAAAGCACAGTTGCACTTGCTAAATAAATGCATGTGTGTAGGCTAAGAATCAGAGAGACATGCAGGTCTGTCCAATCCTGGCAACAGAGACTACAACACCACTTTTGTGAGGCCCAGGGTTGTCCGTGGCCACTGTAGTGATGGAGAATAAAATAATTATCTGAGTTGGGAATCAAGAATTGTTGCCTCAGTTTTGCCTCTGTCCAGCTTCGGGGGAATCCCCTGATGACAGAATATCGGAAAATATTAATGCCTCCTACCTGAAAGTGGTGATTCAAATTTTAGCAAGCTGGGAACCAGACAAGCACAGAATTTTGGTCCCAGTCCTAAAAGAAATTGTATGAATTTCATCTTGTGAGTAAATTGTTTTGGATGGCAGTTTACCAGTCACAAAGCATAGAATAGGTTGTTTCCATATGTTCTGAATTATTGTGTAGGTGTCTGCATAGGACTGTTCTGTATGAGCCCATTTATAACATTTTGTCCAAACTAACTTTTAACAACTGGCTGGGGGGAGAATGGAAGAGGGCTTATAAAGGGGGCTTATTCCATACCTAAATCCTTATATTTATGGGAATGTTAATGTGAAATCCTCCACATAAAATGAGAAATCATTTATCCACTTTCAAACTGACATGCCTGCAACCTATGCATGCATGCAACCAGATAGTCAAAACAGATCAAACATCAACTTTCCTATACTACAATTTTTCTTCCTAATTCTTGATGAATAGTAGAAGCTGAAAGTTTCCTCTAAAAATCTCTGAAGACACTCAGTGGATTGACCTTCTATGATGCTGAGAGGCCACAGGACAGCAAATGAGTTCAGTGTCTCTCCAAGGTGAAGCAAAGGAAATTCTCTAGTTTCATAATAAGCACTTTGGGGCTCGGTACTGATGTGTTGTTCCTACAACAAGGCAACACCACCTTGATAGCTCTTCCCAAGATGTTATCCTTTCCTTTTATTTCACAAGAGTCCTACCTACACCCAGATTATTTTAGAGAACCCAGACCATCGCAGACAACAGTAGCATGAACTACACCCAGCCTGTCAAACAGTGCTAGGTGTCACTATTAATTTGTGCTGCCATATACAACTTGAGAACCACTGGCAGGCTTGATGTAAAGGACAGCAGTGCCATGCAATGTAGAGATGGATATAAAAGCACTGGTGGCAAACTTAACCAGTTTAGTATTTATTAGACCAATAGAAGGTTGGTTTGTGTAGTGTATTTTTATATTCTTGTCAGTTTTATGTTTTTAATGTCAAGATTTTCACTATTTTTCTTCTTTCTTGTAAGACATAAATAAGAAAATAACTTTTTATTAAAATAATTTATTTTTTTTTTTACTTCTGACCACTTTCTCCAAGAGCCTACAGGTAATAGAAATCTGGTGATTGTTAGAGATTTTCCAAAAGGAAATTCCAACTCGTCAAAGCATCTTCTACAAAATATTAAAGGAAGAGGCCTCGAGGTATGGGGTAGATTAAATTGTCTCACAATATCTACCTTGTGGGGAACAGCCCATCCCAGTTGTGTGCTTGAGCATTCAAATCTGATTCAGAAGAGGCAAAGAGCTGGTCTCCCAGGTTAGAGGGCAGAGCTAACAAATCAGTTCTGCCCCTCCCCTTGTAAAATCTGCCACAGACTGAATGGATTCAGTGGATTAAGGGAGGACTTTTTTTTCCTTTTTTTTGGCTGGGTGAGATCTTCGTTCACATCTACATGGATGGATATTTGTATTTCTGTAAGTGATGGTGAAAGAGATTGGTGTTCACTTCCAAAAACAATAACAAATAGACAACAGAAGTGCACCCACAACTTTTCCCTTCACTTTCACCTTACAGACACTACCACTCAGCTTTTCTACATCAGCATTTCCTCACAAGCAGCATTCAAAATGCTTCTAACGCTCCTTTTGCATCATTACAAAAATTCTCATCAGGTTGGAAACGACCCGTCGCCCGTTTCTGTGTGTAATTTCAAAGTTATTGTTGTATTTGATGTAATGAACAAGTGCCAGGCAGCACCGAGGGAGGCTGGAGAAAGCTCAGTTCAGTGAAAGACTTCAAATAAAAGGCTGTAACAGCGGACGTTCCAAGGCCGCACGGATAGTGAGAACGTCCTTACATCCAAGAGTCTCTCTTAACTCCCACAGGACTCGGGGCGCTGCACCTTTAGTGCAGGAAGCACCGAAGTGGCACGACGAAGGAGCTGACGTAGTTTCTGAGCGGCAGCCCCAGCCCGCGGCTGTGCCCTCGGGCCGGGCTGGTTGGAAGCAGCGGGCGCGGCGGGCGGCGCCTCCCGCGGCGCGGGGCGGGGGCCGGGCCGGCCGAGCGGCCGCTGCTCTCGCCGCTCTCGCCGCTCTCGCTGCGGCTGCCGCTGCTCTCGCTGTCGCGGCTCTCTCTGCCGCACACGGCGGGCGGCACAGGCGGTAGCGCCGCTCCCAGCGGGCGGCAGGGCGGGCGCGGAGCCCCCAGCCCCGCCATGGAGAAGCAGCCCGGCGGCGAGGACGAGTGCGTGGACTCGGGAGCGGAGACAGGCGGGTGAGTGCGGTGGTTCTCCCGGGCCGGCGGCAGCTCCCGCCCGGCCCACGGGCTGCACTTGTTGCCGGCGGCCGCCGCCGAGCGCGTCCCGGCAGCGGCGGGGCTGGGGCAGGGCTGGGGCGGCGGCTTCGTGTCCCGGGCAGAGCTCCCCTCCGGCAGCGGGGCCCGCCGCCCCGGCAGCACCCCGCTCAGCGCCGAATCTCCTTGCCTTGCCTTTCCTTTCCTGCCCTCCTGGGACTCGGTCCGGCGTGACCCCGAGGAGCGTCACCCTGCTCCGACTGCCCCGGGGAGTTCGCGTTCCCCCTCGGTGAAGCAATCCCCACCGTCCTCCCGCTACACACGGGGAGGAGGACACGGACAGGTCGTGGCTGTGGACTTTAAGTTTGAGCTCCAAAGTGCGCTGTGATGGCTCGGCTCCGCGGGCTGCAGATGCGCTGGTCAGGGCTTGGTGCCGCACCAATCCTGTATCCCAGGGATAGTGCGGCTGAGGATAGTCTGAGAGCGTGTCCAGGACCTATCCTTTCCTTCTGGAAGTGACATCCACACAGCATCAGGCAGAGAGAGTTGACTCCTCAAAAGGACCATTGAGAGCCTTCTACAAAAGCAAGTTGGATTTGCAGACACCCTGAAAGAGGGTTGCTGTTGTGATTCTCGTTGAGATACTCACCATGCTAGCCTGTGAACTGCTGTAAACTTTGTTGGTAGTGTCATCTCAGTCAAGGAGACTTTTTTTTCCCCTCTGACTTCATGACTGCTGCCAGGAATGTGCTGTGTTTCTTAGCTGGATGACTTCTCCTAAGCTAATGGAGCTACAAGGGATGATCCATGGGATCTCCCATTCAGCTCACACCTTCAGCCCATCTCTGCGGGAGAGAAAGGGAAGTGCTTTCAAGCCTGTCCTACATGCTTTCCTACATGCTGCTGCCTTGAGATCTTGTCAGGAATGGCTGTGAGCCTTTGCTCCTCTTGTGGCTCCAGAAGGGCAAAAAGAGGTTGCATACTCCTGCTAAGGCTGTTCTTTCCTGTGTCTTCCTTCTCACTCCTTGCTCCTCCAGCTGTTTCTCTCCAAGCTCCTTGCCTGGTGCATCTCCCTTGGCCTCTAGTCTGACTTGCAAAACTGTAAAGGTAATTCTCTGCACAGTGGTGTCAGGTGCACCACACCAAAACTGAAGCAGCAATATTGCAAATAAAAATCTAAAGGGTGAAAACAGTATATGGTAATCTTTTTCATACATCCAGCTAGTAATTAAAATAATTTTTTAATATCTTCTGTAGTCTGAGAAGTTAAGGACTTTTCCTATCACCTTATATTGTAGGCACACTTAACAGTAAAAACTTTAAAATATTTTATGTGACATAAGCTCAATGGAAAAAAAATCCAGGCTTCTTTTCCAGATATAGGTTAGTCCCCATTAGGGATATGGATAAGAGGAAGACAAAGTAATCAGTGAATTCATGCCTGGTTCAAAGCTCAAAAACCCTTTGACTGGTCAAGTCACTCATAATTTGCTGTGTTTATCTGGAATGGAAAAACCTGGGTTTCCTTGGGACAGGCACTTGGAAGGATTTGACCCAGCTGGTGACATTAGCCTTTAGACCTCATGGACCAGCGTGACAGCTGCTTGTGTCTGGTGTTGATGAGGTGCTAAAGCTGTAGATTTTATGAAGTGTCTCTGTCCCATGTGTGACACTGGAAAGTATGGGTTGGTGGAAGAGTCTGTCTGAGGAATTTGGACAATGACATATGGCAATTAATAACTGCAGTGCTTTGCACTGACGTTTATTTTGAAAAGCAATGGGTCTCTGCATTTCAATTATTATTTTTAGTTTTGTTTAGCAGCTATTTAATTTTGATAAACATATTGCGTATGTCTCTTTCACAATGTTTATATTTCAGCTTTCTCACCAAACCAACTGTTCACAGCACTTGCTTTTCCCTGTTACCAGATCTGCTATTTGCTTTGTCTCAGTCCCATCACCGCTATTACTAAACTAAACTGCATTCCTTTTTCTCCAATTACTCAATGGTAAAAAAAAAATAATAATTAATTAACTATTCTGAGCTTCAACAATCATCCTCTGAAAGAATGAGGAACAACTGTCAGAGTGATTCAGTACCAGTTTTGCATGGAGTGGTCGCTTTCTGTCACTCAGGGAACAATGGTGGACAGTGACTGTAGTAACTCTAGGCACTGCACGCCCTTGTCATCTCAATGATTGTACATAATGATGTGTGAGCTCTTACACAGAGCCTGGGCTGCTGAAGCTGCTTAGAGCAGCTAACAAATTGAACACATCAAGTACTCCACAGGGCATATGTTGCTTAAGGTTTTGTTGTGGCTGCCAGCTACAAAAGCAGGCAAAACTCTCTGCTAAAGGCAAGATCAATTACAATTCAAACCCTTCATTTTCCTAATCCTTTTGAAAATATGTTCCTCTTACTGCATTTGGCTTGGTAAATAGGGTTGGCAAAGAGTCTGCTGAACAAAAATAGCATATTTGGAGTTCCTGAATCCAATAAGAATGGATTGAGCTGGTGTTGTCAAGTACCTAAATAAAGGGTGTAGAACGTATAAGCCAATTAGTTTATATTGGCTGTTTATTAACGAGATTTGAAATAGTTTGACCATCCTTGATCTAAGAGACTTTGCCTATACAAGTTGTATCTTCTCAGGAAACATATTTTGGGAGATTTTAGTATAAGAACCTTATTTCATCTGCTACTGAAAATTTTAGTACAGAAGTATGGCATACAAAGCTTTCTCTGGTAATAGTTTCAGTAGTGGATTTGTACTATAAAACCTGACATTTTCAGAAGAATAAAAAAGTCCTTATTTGGCCTTTTATTAGAAAGAAAACAGAGAAGAAAAACCAGTAGAAGAAAGATTGAAGGGAGGATAAGTGTATGCATTTACAGAACTGTACCTGAATAGCAAAGAAAAACGAAAAAGTGAAAAAATAACAGTTACTTAAAATGAATTGTAGAAACATTTATTTTAATGTTTTCTTCATTTTACAAGCCATGCAAATGCTATTATTTCACTGTCCTTGAACAGCAGAGCAAAGATGACAAACTATGACAATTTGGAAGTTGTTAGGCATGCCTGATTTTGAGGCAACGATTCAGATTGGCTACCACTGGCATCCAGGACAAAGCATCAGCTCAATTCATTGCATTCAGGACCGATATCCCAAGTGAATGTGGAAAAGCAGGTAGTTTCTTAGTTCTAAACATCAATTTCTAAACATTTCAACATCCATGATAGTTCCCAGCACAAGTTAACTTATTTGCTTAGATAGCTGTAAGAGCCCATGTCTTAAAAGGTTTACACTTTAATCATTACATTACTGATTGTCTCAAAGTTTGCCTAAACATGTAATTTTTTTCCTCACTTTAAAATTATTTAAAATTTTGAGGTTATAATTTTTATTTTAATTTGTTACTTACCCACTTATATTTCAAATAAATAATCAATCTTTTTAGAGAAAGTGGAGAGATATTGCTGAAGTACCAGGTGGGGAAGTTTTTTATGTAAGTTTTAAATGTAAACATTGATGATGCAAACTGAATTAAACAGTAGTTAATTGTTGAGTATTTGATGAATTTTAGGAAGGTTGTTTATAGTATTTTTTAGTAGTAGGCAACTGCAACAAAACAGTACAACAAGATATAGAGAAATTCATTTCAAAACAGATAAAAGAGATGTTTGAAGTTTATAACATTGTACCATGCAACAGCGATTTGTAACGTATACTTAGCAAAATCTGATGCTGTTTGGTTACAATTAATTTTCATGGTGCTTGTTGCCTCCTTTACATTTTCTCCTGTCTCACATTCCTCAAATTAATTATGCAGAGGTTATGCTCATTTTTGGAGTGTGCTATACTTTTTTTTGTTTTCTTTATGGCTCTCCCTAGCTGCATGTGTGATCCTGGCCAAATCACAAATTATTTGAACCTCTGTTAACTTATCTCTTAAGCACATCAAGAAGGCCTTTCTTTAATTATTGCAGTTCAGTAAAAGGTGTGAGGTTCTAAAGCAGAAAATATTGTTAATAGAAGGTAAAGCAGCCAATATAGATATATATATTAAGTTGTACCCCCCTTAGAGGTAAAATATCAAGAACACTGTAATCCACTTGTGTCCTCAGACAGAATGGATCACTTAAATTATCAAATGAATAGTTGAATGATTTATTGGGGTGAGAGGTTGCTTTCATGTCTCATGTTTCTGGCTTTAAGGAATTCAACACTTACAACTTTGTATGGCAATCCTTCAAGCTGACACATCAGTCACTTGTCACGTATTTCATCCGTCTATGAGAAACTCTCAGGAACACAAACCACTAATGCTGAAAGCTGTTTTAAGGCTTATTTTTATATTGGGTCTTCTTTAGTTTTGGTTTTGGGGGTTGTTTTGCTGTGGGGTTTTTTTTGACACTTTTACTTCATGTATAGGCCCATCAGTCCAGATATGTCATGATACTCAAGTTGTCTCTGATTTGACGTTTGAATAATGTGAAGTTGGGCTGTTTGTCACAAACTGGGGTTGAGGCACATTTCCAAACAGATTTACTCAGTGAAGCGAAGTTGTTTGGTTGAACATTGGGGCAGACAGACCTGAGAGTGCCAGGCACTACAGCAAGGTTGAAACAGACTTTAGATCTCTCTCTGGAGGCCATGAGCTCTGTGCTGATACCCATAATTTTTAGGTCCCTGCAAGCTGCGAGGCTCACCTCAGCTAAATGTAGCTGTGTGAAAGTTTGATGTTTGGTATAAATAAGGCTTCTTCTGTTGTTAATTAAGAGAACCAGGACCTCAGGAGGATAACTCAGGCCCTGGCCTGGGATGTGTGGATAGATGCCACCTGATGTGTCCCTCTGGGAGTGCTCTGTGAGGGAGTGGGGAGCAGGGTGTGCAGCCAGGTGTACTCACTAAATCACAGGGTGGTCCTGCCTCATCAGCTGCTTTTTGGAAGATGACAAACAACTTTTCAAACC